CTGCTCTTCCACGATCGTGCGCGCCGGCAGGCGGGCCTGGGGGGCAACGGCGGGAAGAAGTCGCCCACTCACTTAGAGTTTGCCAAGGTTGAGAAATACTGGTCTAGACCAACCTTCATGCAAAAGCGCTAAAGAATTCCTGGAAGCTTAGCATTCTGACTAATCCGCCATCGACAGGCCCACAGAGATAAACCCTACGTACATTCCATTTTTAAAAAGAGACAGCCTCAGGAATCTCACCGTTCAACCCTGAGCTACATGTATCCTCTATTATTAAAAGCATTTCCCATGAATCAATTAAAAAAAGAACGCTTGGACAACGGTACCCAGGACCAACACTACCACCAAGTCTCCATTTTGCCAGCCTTCCATTACCGTGCAATTTTGATGTAGTAGTGTGTTGGCTTCGGCATGAGGAACTCCCCGGGAATTTCCACTTCGGCAGTTTGGGCAGAGAAGTTGCTGAGGAAACGGCACTTTTCCTCGATGAGAAAAAATTTGGGCAGCTGCTTGGTTTTGGCCTCCAGGATTTTGATCCACTTCTTCAGCTTAGAAATGAGATTGTGGAGTTTCATGGAGCCCGGCACGCTGAAGTCAAAATCTATCAGAGAGACGGACAGAGAAAAATATCTGCTGTTACGAACTGGAATGAGAAATATTCAGGTACCTGAGATACAGAATCAGAAGCTTCACCTCCAGAATTTTATTTCCTTTCCCCATCCTTTCTAAAAGGAGTTCACGATGAAAAGCAGAAGAAAACAAAAGAAGAACGTTGTGCATCTTCAGATGCGTAGGAAGACACATCTCTTTGGCCAGGTTTTTAATGGTTATATGATTTCCATTATCTATTTTATTGTTCTTAATCTGTACTTTCCCCCTTTATATTCTTTTTTTTTTAAAAGTTGTTTACTGTTCTGAGTGCTCGCCAGAGCAGAAAAGTGGGGTATAAATCATATCCAATCAAGTCAATCGAGTCTTAAGATTTTGCAGCATTTTATCCTATAAGCCAGTGTTTGAAATAGACGAGCAACAGGGACGTAAGCTGACCTCTTCCAACTTGCACAGAGTTGGAAGAGAACACACCTATATGAAATGTGCTTGATTTTTTCACTTCTTTTGATATTCTGTGGATGCTGCTTGTTGCTGGGGTACCCTGACATTAAAAAAAAAAAAACTATAAACGTTTCATTCTGTGCTATTGTTAACTGCATAAAAATGGCTAGATAGTTCCCTCCCATGCCAACTTTCAAAAGGTTCACTAGACGTGCAGTAAATCAAAGGCAATTTTGTTTGTAGAAAAACAGGCCCAGGTCCTCCTGCTCTACAGAAATATATTCTGATCTTATCTGCCCAAATATGCCCAAAGATTCAGATTTGTTTGGAGGAAATCAAATCTCATTCATTCATTCAATTTGTTCAATTCATTCAACTTATATACTACTCATGCCAGCTTACAAAACATTAAAAAAAAAAAACTATCCATAACAGTTAAAACGTCCAAATACTTGGAAGGAAAATGGAAACGGACGGGTTGCTGGTGGCACCGGGAATACCTTGCCTAGAGAGAGTTGCTGATATCTGCCTTCAAAGATTTTTGACAGCATGTAAATTTTCTATTTTCATCTGGCATTTTCATACACTGTTCCTAAACCGCAACTGACAGGCAGTGACATTGGACAGTTTTAATCTGATTTTTTCCCCTAACGTTATCTTTCATGCTGTGTCTTGCACTTTATATTACATTTGTCCTATATATGTAGTTTTTATTACCACTGCAATCATATTTAATAATATGCGATTCGGTATTATTAGGTGCTTTAGAATTACCCACTTTGGAAGTGTTATATAAAATTTAATTGAAAGAGGAACCTGAGTGTGAGAAAAGGCAGGCTTCAATGTCTTTCAAGTATTTTTAATCTAAATCTGACCACTGTGTTTAAGTAACAAAACTGGTCGCTGTGATTCGTTAAGCTTTGCATTAACCCAAAGGAAATCTTTACATTCAGGGCCTCCTTATGAAAAAGGCCCAATGGGGCGATAAAGATAGTACTCGTTAAAGATAAATTTATATTTAATAAAAGGCAAGCATCTTCTATCTGGAACCGTCCCTCTTAATATTACTCAAAAACAAGACTTTAAAAAGATTTGGCGAGCGGCTTTCAACAGCTAAAGTTACCCGTTCTCAAATACCAATATTTTTAATCCCTTTAGGTAAACGGACAGGGAGACTTACACACACTATCAGCACGTCAGCAGGTTTTCAATACATCCTCAACAGCCCTTCCTAGCCTTCAAAACTGCAGAATGACATACATACACAGTGTTTCCCAATGCAATGCCCTCTAAATGTGCTTGACAATCTCCTCCATCATCCACAGCCAGCCCAGCACGCCCAGAGGGGACCGAAGATTGAAAAAGGCTGCCTTCTCAAACTAAAATTCTTCAACCCTGCTCGGAAGTACGAGGCATACATCAAAATAACCCAATCATTTTTGCTAGAGGCGGAAAAAAAGAGGGCATTTCTACGCAGTCTCCACTCATCTCTGTCAATGGCCTCCTCGTTCAACGCAAGGCGTACCTGAGACAGGTAAGGATGCGATATCTCTGGAGGGTTTTGTGCGGAGGCAACCTATTTATTCGTTTAGATTTATGTCCTCACTTTCAATAGAAGGATTCTCAAGCTGGTGGATAATACATTGTAATACTCAGCCCACTTGTGCCTAGGGCAACCGATCTACCAACAGGCCCATGATCAAAACATTTTGCGAGATGCCCGTTAAGAAAGAGATGGACGATTCGTATGAATCTCACAACAGATTTATTGCACAAAAAAAACCCACGTTTTTAAAAAAATGCCCCAAATCTTTTCCAGCATCTCTTGGGTCGACTCTGAATGTCAGAAAAAAACCAACTCTAATTCCAAGCCTACCCTCTAGTGAGCAATTGGAGTAAATCGCTCGGCAGAAGAGAAAGACGCAACACGCCGTTCCGTTTGCTGCTTTCCGCTACCTGAAGCGCAGAAATAGGCCACCGAAGGGGGAAGTACAACATTCTTGCTAATGCTATGCAAAGAGCTGAAGTTTAAAAAAAAAAAAAATCAGCAGTCTTAATTTTTTTTTAAAAAAAGTGAGTCACTCTTTGCACCATGGGAATCACTCTAGTTTGCCGAAAATACCTATTTTAGATTCGCTTTTTCTTCTTTCTCGCTCTTGTTTTGCTTGGTGGGACCAGATGATGACGACAAGAGAGCACGCAATTAATTACCTGTCTTTGTTCATGCCAGAAAGGCTTCACGCTGAGCTTGTCTAACTAAATCCAGACTTTCAAAAAGGCAAAGAATTACCAGCAATGTGAGTGGCACAAGCCACAGTCACCTGTTCTGGCGGTAGCTTAATGAGGTTAGAAATGAAATCTCTTTTGGCATCAATCCGAAACACAACCCAAGCCTTTATTACCTGCAGTGGTTTAAGCGCTTCAAATTGAACAAAAACATGACAATCTAGTTGAAGGAAAGTACATTTTGGACTTAGCTCGGAATGTTCTTCTGAAACACTGAATAACTGACAGATGGATTAAGAGTCTTTCACTGGAGGTAAAAGGGGAAGCCAATTATTTGGGGCAGCAGTGAAATAGAACAGGGAAGCCTAAATCCAACCATCCCCAACTGGTTGAGGAACATGGGAAATGAAGCTCAGAACATCTGAAACAACATTGGGTTGGAGAAGGCCAAAGGAAGCATAAATCACAACTCCAAGCTTAAAGAGTAAGTTGACCAACGGAGAAGGCCTATGAGGTTTGGTTACAGGATATCCAGATAGGCCACAAGGGATGAAATGAGGTCACCCATAACAGACAATCTGCTACCATTCAGCGCTACTCCTGAATTTGAGAACCTTTCACCTTGACGTTTAATGACCTTTTATTTTATTTCACCAATGTAGATGACACTCACTCCTTAACAATGCTTAAGAGCTATCTTCCATGGAGGTTAGGATAGAAGATGCTAGTTTGGACCACAGCTTTCCTATGGATGCAACACCTTTCCTGCACTGGTATTTGTTCTTGTAGGCTCTGGCTGTTGCACTGCCTGGACCATGGAGATGGTTGGAAAGTGATTCCCTTTTCGATTCACAAAAGAACAATTGCCACTGGAGAGTAGAGAGACAACACAAAGAGATGATACTTCGGTATGGAAGCTACAGGAAAGGAATAAGAAGAGCAAACCCTGAAAGGTCTTCTTTAGCCATGATTACCTGAGTTCTCAGTATGCTCTTAATGTAGCAAGAAGCTTACAGAACACAACTAGCCTCCAAACCTTATCCACGGTTTGCTCTCTTCACAAGCAGCTGAGAGCTGGGAAGTTCTTCCACCCAAAACGCTGGATTTTAGTTCCTTCCAAAAGGTCAATGTGCTGGCAGACCCAATTTCTATCTTGCCACCATCCATCCCACAAAAGAATCTCCCCCAGATGCCAGCCTGCACAGCACCGGTCTCTGCTTTAAGGAGAGCTAGGATCCTTGGCTTAAATACATTTCCTAACCACTCAGAATCAGCACCCAAGAACAAATAAGTCACTTGTGCAGTGAGATGGGCAGTATATATAAATTTGAATGAATAAATGAATAAATATCCTAACTTCGAAACTTGGCTTGTTACTTGTGACATGGATGCTTGGGAAAAGATCCAATGCACAGAAGAACAGGACGACAACTGCGACGAAGAGATTATAAAGCCGGAAGATCTTGATCAGCGATGGAATAGTATGGTGATTAAATTGCCATTAATTCAGCAGCACTGATGCTATTCTTGTTGCACATCAATCAAAATTTTTATTTTCTGCAAAATGAATTAAATCCCACAACTCCAAACTGTAAGCCCATTGACCAATTTAATTGCAGCCGTCTCCCCTCCATCCTTCAACATTAATTCAACGCCCAACTTTTAACAGATTAAAGCAATGTCATCTTGAGCTAAGTAAAATGGCTATTTTCATCTTAATTACACAGGCCTAATCATAATTGAAAAATAAAATATTCTGAATCTATAAAAGATATTTGAAAGGGGTTTTTAATTATTATTATTATTCTAAAAAGGAGAGAATCCTTTCATCATCCTGATTGTTTCAAGCCCTCTATTTCAGAAGTTGAAGAAAATCTGCCTCTCCGAACAGTTTTTTCCCAAAATGCACAACTCAAACAAGCCCAAACTTTGTCCACGGCATTTGAAAATGTGAAAAATAAAGAATGACCAAATGCATGCAACTATTAAGGATAGAATTATTTTTAAACGTGAGGTGGGAATAGTAAAATATCTCAACTGAACCTATAACATTGATTTTTCTTGGAGTCTACACACCGGGGGTCTATAGGATGTGGATTAGTGGGAACCGAGCTTCAGATCCAGCATGAGATGTGCAACAAGATGGCAAGAATTACGTGATCCCTGGTTCCACTGAAGATGTCTGCTTCCCCATCCTCAATCTTCTCCCTATCCATCCACCTTTCCAAGACTTTTCAATATCTGAAATTTTGGTGCTACGCTCCAATGTCTCTTCACAGCAACCATATTTGAAATGAAGCACAAAGAAGGCTCTAAGTGAAAGCTGATGGCCTTGCAAAGTCAAGGCAGAGGGAAGGAAAAAGTTTTGGCTTGCAACATTTGCATGTACCCATGTAGATACCATTCTACGTTGGCCTCCTAGATGCCACAGAATTGGGCAATGGGGAACATTTATGAAATGGTCCTGCTGCTTGTTTCACAGGGAGGAGAACCAATGGGGCTCAGTTCACGTTGCAACCTGAAGCAGGTTTTACTCTGGATTAAACCCAACAGGGCTTCCTTTGGAGCAATTGTGCTTTCCCACTTCAGCAGAACAGTAAACATCCCGCCTCCTTTTCCAATGGCTTTGCACAGGTGCTCCTCACAGATCAAAATTTTGTTCACTGCCAATCTTGAAATAATGGAAAAGGAGACTGGCTAATATAAAACCAATAATGTTATTGCAATGCTTCCCAAGTGGCCCTTTTAAATAACCAATTATAGCAATCGATTTAAATTATTTGGCTTGGATGCAAAACCCTCAAGTAATGCTGTAACTGTCTGATACCAAAAGCTTAAATTATTTGCTTGTACGAATGCAATTTGGTGGGGGGGAGTGGCATAGACGCATACAAATTTTATCATCACATTTCAAGAGGGCCATTCAACCATAAATTTGAACTACCTGAAGATTATTTTCTTATTCACGTTTTTTAAAGGACTTAAGGCATTAAGTCTGGTAGACTGAAAGCCCACAAAAGAATTTTTATAATGGGTCGTCCCTTTTATAACAGAGATTGGAAAAGACCTAATAACCAACAGTTTCAATTGCCCTGTTGCTTCCACCCCCCTCCTCCCAAACTAAGAAGAGAGAATGTCCTACTTCAAAGGCAAGCATGAACATTCCAAATTCCAAATTTGGGGAACCATGGTTGATTTAAAACTGGGGAGGGGATCCTGACAAGGAAAACCAAAACTGAATCCCAGTCAGTATAGAAATGACTTGCCTGTTGTGAACTGCCCTTTCAGTTTCTGAAAGACAGGATCTTGAGCTGTGGCCTGAGCCCTCCTGGCTAGTGATTCGGAAGCAGCGCTGGAGAACATGGTGGAGACATTGGAGACGTTCTCAAGGCCCACTCCGAAGGTGCTGACCAGCTTCTTGACAAAATTCAGGGTGTGGGGTGTGATTTTGGCATCTGAAACTGCCCCACTCTTCTCAAAGGCAACAGAATAGCACTTGGCGAGGCCTTGTTGAAGTTGTCGGAGAACCTAAAGCCACAAACACGTGAGGGACCAGTGGGGGGAGGGAGAGGGGTCACAGAGAGAGAGACAACACAAAGAGGGTCTTTTGAGTTGAAAGTATGGAACAAACCCACAACACAATATTGCAAGAAACCAAAGCAGAACTGCAGGTAGCCAGAATCCAACCCTGATAACTTTGCAGATGGGACACAACCAGATATGGAAACGATTACCTTCCAAGTCAAAGAGAGCTCCCTCTCATTTACAGCCACATCACTCTGACCTTGTGAAGATATTGTTTTGCTCCCGAACGAGTTTTAGAAATATGCTAATTTATTAATAAAACCTATATTCTGTCCTTCAGCTGTATTGTTCTTTACTTCTATAATAGCTATATTAAATGCTTCAAAGGAGATCTTTTCCTGAAGGATGAAGTATAAATGCTTACAAGAATGGGAAACAACGTTGCAAGAATCAAGGGGTTGGCTAGGATGTGGTCTGTTTGACTTTGGCTTAGAGTGCTGCGTGAACCCAGACAACTGTAGCAAAGTTACCCAAAACAACAAAAATCACAGTGTAGCTTCACGTGTGAATTTAGCTCCTATATGTATATGAGAGAAAGAGGTCATATGTTCTTGCTGACTATGCAAATCAGGAAAGCTAGTGAGGTGTGGTGGTGAAGGTACTGAATGGGCACCAGGGAGACCCAGGTTCTAGTCCACCTTCAGCCGCTGAAGCTCCTTGGATGACTTTGGGGTAGACACTCTCTTCAACCCAAGAACCAACATGGTGTAGTGGTTAAGGTGCCAGAAACTGATATTCAAGCTTCTTCTCAGCCACAGCAGCTTTCTGGGGGACTTTGGGCCAGTCACTCTCTCTTGGCCAAAGTTTCTTCATATGGTTATTGTTGTGGGGCAAAATGAGATGAGGAAGAACTGCGTACATCATCTTGAGCTTCTGACCAAAACAGCAGGAGATAAATCTAATAAATAAATACATAAATTCCAATAGAAGAGACTATCTGTAGCTCAGGGTTGAACTGTGGAGCTCTCTGAGCTTGGTGGTTTGCTTGAGACATTTCATTACCTGACTAGGTAACATCATCAGTGCTAGTGAGGGGTTTGCTCTGTAATCAAGAAACTACCAAGGAGAAAACCACATCTCCACTAACACTATATATAAACAGGGAGCAAACCCCACAACTCCCTCACTCTGATGATGTTACCTAGTTGGGTAATGAAACTCCTGCAATCAAACAGCCAAGCTCAGAGAGCACCAAGGTCTCCACAAATACATAAATATCAGGTCATACTCAATGGTGCTGGGGAACAGTCTACTTCTGCTGATTGGTTTTATTATAATATACTTTAATTGCCACTGTTCTGATATGTTGATGAAGATTCTCAGTCATCCAGGTGGAACTGTCTGGAGGTTGAGTCATGGCAACTGGACTTCTTTCCTTTTCGGTTAGAGACGTTTCGCTACTTGTCCAAGCAGCTTCTTCAGTCTAAAAAGTTGGTTGGGGGGACCCCATTAAAAGTCTTCCAGGGTGGCTGTTCTGCAATATGCCAGTTGGGAATAGAGTAGCACAGAACTATGAGTAATAAATAACATAAATAGTACTACCACCAGAAAACTCTAAAAAATGTTTCGAGTCTTCTGCTACAGAATCAGAGAATCGGAGGATCCTAGGGTTGCCAGAGGTCTTGGTGGCCTTCCAGTCCAACCCCCCCACCCCCAGGGCAGGAATCTCCAGGCCATCCTAGAGAAATACTGTCCAACCATTACTTGAAAATTTCCAGGGATGGAGCACCCGTGACTTCAGGAGGCAGGCTGTTCCTCTGCTTAATGCACTGCGTACATAAGTGCTCCATTTGAAAAAACGTGGACCACACCACTGCACAAGGGAAAAAAAATCCCACTACTCAGGGAAGCAGGAGAAAACGCAAAGGAGCAAACACCTCAAATTAAAACAAAGTCTACCTCCTCGTGCCAGTTTTCTCGGAACCAGACCATCTGATCCACAATCCCTTCCAGAGACGAAAGGAGCGTCGGGTGCAATTCCCGTTGCATATGCATGATTCGGCTGCATCGCCACATGGGGGCTGTCGCTCGGATCGGCCCAGGGTCAGAAGCGGAGTGCGACTGGTTTCCAACCGAAGTTGGCTGCTGCTGCCCAGAATCTTGGGGGGGGGGGGGGGGGGGGGAGATGGGAAGGAGGAGGTGTCAGCCCTTCAAAGTAGCCCAAGTTGAGAAACAGATACAACATAAACTATTGGAACTCTATTATTATAGGGCAGGGTTTCTCAACCTTGGCAACTTTAATAGATGTGGACTTCAACTCCCAGAATTCCCCAGCAAGCCTATCTATCTGGCCTAAGTTGATTTAGAAAGTAAGGAAGATGATCGTGATGGAGATATGCAAGCTCCATTCCCAAGGCAGCAAGGGGTAAACTATAGTTTAAGTCCACACCAACCAGATAACATTTGGCTCGGGCAGACACCTCCCTAATTCAATGAACAATAGAAGAGGAGGCACAACACAATCAGATTGGAAGACTCTGTTATTGGAGCCAATCTCAGTTATAATTGGTTTTAGCCTTCCTGTGATTTTCTGGTCTGCTCTGCATAGTGGGGCTGACAGTTGACATTCACATAACGGTCACTGAATGTCTTCTTCAAGGCCACCTCTGTACTCCTCTACAGGAGAAGAGAATGCCCAGAAAACATCATTAAGACTACATAGGTATAGCATAGCCTCAAAAACACACTGTTGCTGCCTTATAAAGATGCAGCAAATGTTAACAGATTCGTTATTCAAGAACCTGAGAGATTTGGCAGGTGGGAGGTGGCCACTAAGAGAATACCTTGTTTCTACTTCAGTAAGGCTGATCAAGAAAATATTGGGCAGAAGACTCAAGCTGGGTTGATTTCCTCTCAAAGTGCTGTAATTTGACCACAAAACTCACAGTGCCATCAAGGCCTTGACAGAACAGGCATCCGAGTAGCCTTCTCATTCATTCAATCTCACGACCAGCCCCCCAAATCTACCTTATTCCTAACTCCAGGACAATCTGCATTGAAGGAAAATGGAGCTGGGATCGATGAGAACCCATACAATTGAGTACTGGGGGATTTTATATCCCTCAGACGTGCTGCTTTAAGAAAATAATCCTTACTGCAATCGCAACTTTAAAAAGGCTAAATTCTAGCCATCATCAAAAATATCATTAAAGCAGCAATTAAGGGTTTAACTAGGTCCATCTGATCCCATTCTCTAATTAGTAAAGAAGGCTAACAAAAGATCTGCCCATCTGCCAGCCATGGAGGCAAGGTAACTCAATTCTCCCTGACCTGAGATCCATCCCCCGAGGACACAGCGCTGTGATGTTCCCAGCTTACCGCTTTTGTAACGCTCTCGTTGTTCTATCTTCAATGTCAGATAGAGGGTTCGGATGGGGAAGTAAACCGCCTGGGGATAGACGCGTCCAACCTATTTCATGAAAGAGAAGCGCATGTTAAAAATCAACGGCCGCCTCTGAAGTATTATGATACAGCAATTTGCCTGCTGATTTACGTCCAGCTCTGTCTCCATGAAATCAATTAATCATGATTTATATAGAGGAGAGAGAAAAGGGATGGGGGGGAAGGGTAGGTTAATCTTAAAACAAAGGGTTTGATGATGAGAGAACAGTTTTACACAAATCGGAAAGTGCATCTTATTTTCCTGCTCTCCTTGCAGACAGCTCCACAATCTTTGAAGGGGGACCTACCAGAAAAGAGTCCACCAGGGATGTAAATCTAAAGCCATTTTTAATCCCCCAAAGTCCGGATGCTCCCCTTCCCCAGAACCACCTCACCTGCCCCACAATGTGCATTTTGTAATTATAAACAGCTGGGGCGCAATGATATTGATAGCTAACGCTCAACTAAATCAAATTTAGCTTTGCCCTGGTTCTACTTCTTTATTCCAGTGCCACTTATTCTTTGCTGAACTGCCCCGACATGTGACTCAGAAAGCCAGCATGATTCTTGATCTAATTCCCCCCCACCCCAAATGTACCTAAGTCTGGTATCAAAATTAAACACACGCAGACCCAGATTGCAAATCTTTTCCCCAAAAGGCATCCCAGATATTCCAGAAAAGCATCCTGGGCCTACCTAAGTTGGGATTTAGATGCATGTATGATCAATTTAAATGTTGCCCCCTCTATGGATGTCTACTGTCAACATCAGATGGAAACAGAGGGCATGGTCTAAACACCCTCTGCTTCCTCTCCATATTTCCCGATGTGCTTAAAAGAGGAAGCTGAGAAAGGTTCTGCTGTATTACTCAATATGCCAGATATCTGCATAACCCAAGGCTGCCAAGGATGCTAAAAAGATGTTATTTATGTGAATCAAAGAAGGGAGCAACCCAAAAAGGATACTTAGCCTTTAAATAAGGCTGCCATAAATTGTGTGCTACGCATTAGTCAGGCTCATTAGAGCGTAACCTTACTCAGCAAAAATTGTGGCACTAAAGGTAAAGAATGGCCACTGAATGAAAAGGGGAAAAGCACAATTAGCAAGTGGTTTTCCTCCAGAAAAGGAGGCAGAGGAGAAATGGGGTAAAGTAAGGTAAGGTAAGATGGTGTATTGACATCCATGTGCCACTTTTGTCTTTAGAGGTACAAACTTTGGTGTCCATGAAATGAAAGAATACATTTGATCAGATGTTATGAGGCAAAGCATATGAGAAGCTATGGCAAGTGGTTTTTCCTTGCCAACCCTTACATCATCTGCACCATGTGGGATAGGGGTATGGATTACAACTGGAATTTTGAGATCATGTGGTGGTTAAAAGCCCCACATAGCTGGCAACCCAAGAAGTGAGAACTGGATAGAATTCAGAAAGGCTTCTTTAATGCTAGTCAAGGTAAAACCACCCTTTTGAAAACAGTAAAAGCCTTCTAGCAACCCCTTTTTCCTTCAAGAACCCCGGAAAATGCCGTCCCACAAATACAAGAACACCAGTCGTCAAACCATGGCTCATCCGCTTCCTACATCTCCATACCTGACTAATAAGGTTCAAGAGGAGTTTTCCTTCTGATCCAACCAAACAAGTTAAGAGCTGTGGGATCCAAGCCAGCCACTGGATGGGTGGGACTCCGATGCAATACTTGTCCACGGCATCAGCCAGTGTATTCTTGTCATCATCAAAGCTCAGGAGCCAAAGAACCTGAAGCAAATCGCAAAATAAGAAGAAGAAGAAGAAGAAGAGGAGGAGGAGGAGGAGGAGGAACAACTAGAAAAAATAGGGAAATATAAAGACCTTCAAATAGAGATCAAGCAAATGTGGGAAAAGAAAGTTGTAATGGTGCCAGAAGTGATTGGAGCACTTCGTGCCATCCCAAAGATCTGAACACACACTTGGACACCAGATGAATGGACAGAGTCTCAACTCTTCAGTTACAAAAACTTGCATTACTTGGAATAGTGCATATATTACAGTCTCTTTAACTATCTGTAATGGTATATGGGAATGACCTTGGGAGATGGGGGAAGAGCCACAGCCAAGGGAATGGTCACATAACAGGCAGCTGAACCTGCAGAAAGAATGGGGGAGAAGGTCCCAGAAGGGACCCTTCCTAGTTTTTTGGACTGTAAAGGTGAGGGGAGAGAAATTTACTTTCAGACTTGCAAGATTCTGTTACTGTAACCTTACAATAAAGTAGAATTAGTTCATCTGGGCGCGCTTCCTGTCTGGATTACCTCACAAGGTTGACACTATCCTAGATCCTTGGAAGGATCTGATAATCTAAAGCAGTCTTTCGCAACCTTGGCCACTTGAAGAAGTGTGGACTTCAACTTCCAGAATTCCCCAGCCAGCATGCTCATGGATCGGTGGTTTGCTTGCAGACCTTTCATTACCCAACTAGGTAACATCATCAGCTCGACTAGGTATCCCAACCTACTCACTCGCACAGATGATGTTACCTAGTCTGGTAATGAAACGTCTGCAAGCAAACCACCAAGCTCAGAGCGCACCAAGGACTCCACGAGAAAGAAACTGCCCACATCTGTCTTTCAAATTGTTTCTCCCCCAAAAGAAGACACTCACCTTTGCTAAATACTTCCTGGATTTGCTTTCATTCTGGTGCCGGCAGGCATGTAGGTAGCAAGTAAGTGCCGACACCCCGAGGTGCAGCTGACGCTCCTTCACAAAGATGTTTTCCAAATAATCGCCCCACATGGCCCAGGCCTTCACTAGCACATCGTGCATCTGCACAGCTGCCGAGAAAGCTTTGTTGGCTTCTTCAGACCTGGGGAGAACATGAAAGGGGAAGTTATGAGCTGTGCACGATGCCAGCGACACAGGGAAGAGAATGATGGAACTGGACAGTCCAAAAATCCAAACAATTGTAGCATCTTCCAGGCTGAAAAATAATGGGTTCATTTCACAATGTAGAAAGGGGAATGAGGAGGAGGGAAGCAGTAGATGTTTCCACCTTCCTCCTTGGCCACAGCTACCACCTTTACCCCTACTGGAACCTCAGATGCACTAATATGCACTACTTGTATCTCAGCATTGGCAATCAACATGTGCCAATCCAGAAAAATGGGCAACCCTTTCAAACGGGGACATTCCCAAAGGGAGGGAGGCAACATCAAAACAGCAGGTGCAACCAGGCAATTGAAGCCCCTTTTTATATCTGTGCAATACTGGTAGCCCTCGTTTAGCAACTGCCTCATACAGCGACCGTTCGCAGTTACAACGGTGATAAAAAAGCAACTTCGCAACCAATCCTCGCATTTACGATCTTCGCAGGTCCACAAAGCAAAGGAAAGCTGAAGTAAAATCCACTGTGATGTTTTACTTAGCAACCAAGTTGCCAGTCCCAACTGTGGTCGCCAAACAAGGACTACCTGTACAACCAATGCACAAAGAGGTGATCTGTGATTGCACAGTCACGCCTGCTGTTCTGACTTGGTGGAGCCTGCCCCTGCCCTGCCCCGGGATGGCCCCACCTTCAAAAGTTTCAGAATGCCTCTTGGCCTTACAAAATCTCATCTGCACAACTCTCATCGTACTTAATTTAGGACGGCCTAACCTGCCGTTATCCGCCTGCAGCACTTAAGAAAAAAACGGATGGAATTGGGTGAAAAACATTGCCAAATGGAAAATAACCCTATCTGTCAAATAGCTTATTAAACAGCTAATTAGCCTCGGTATTACTCGGCTTCATCTTCTTCTTCGTCTTTTCCTTTCTGGCTAACGGCTTTCAGCAACCCAGACTCTGCAAAGCCGTACAACTTATTACCGAAGGGAAACAGCTGATAAATGGCTTGCCATATTTCTCCTTTCGACGGCTAACAACAGGATTTGTCTTCGAGACGCTTCTTCTGTTCTCGCCCCCCGTCTGGGGTTATCTATCAAGAACGCTTCTGATAACTCTTTATACTCCTACGGCTTCCAGAGCCACACGGCTGGCAAAACTGACCGGGCCTTCTCTCCAAATGATCTTTCAGTCCCAGTTCTTCCAACGGCTAGCCAGGGATCACAACTCAATCTAGGTTTTAGCAAGCATCTTGAAAATACGGAATAGAAATACCAGATCCCTGGTTCCCTGCCTGTACTTTTCTCCTGCTTCTTTTTGGACAAGAGACAAAGTGAAGCTGGCATTTGAAGATTATATCTTGCCCAAAACCTTGACAGCAGGCAGGTCATCTAAATTATTTAACCCCACTTCCTCTGCAGAGGAAACTTCTGAACACGCTCCTGGGGTTGCTTAAAAAGAAAGAGGTTATTGTACTTTTCTGCTCAATTAGTTACCTTTTCCTGGTTTAAAATCCTCTCTTTCCCCAGGAGAGGACAATGATTGCTCCTAACCTATGCCACTGTGATGCTAAGCAGCGCGTTTGACAACAGGTGGATTTTTCCCCCCACTTTTAAAGTCCCTCCTCTCAAAGGACTGCAAAGAGCACTGCCTACAGGCTCAACTCTGCTTCTGGTTCAGTATGGAGAGGTTCTGAAAACCTGACAGCACCAAAGCAGGCCCAGAGCTGTCTTGCAGCTTGGCCGTGATGTGTTTTTGAAGTGAAAAAAGGAAGGACAGGTTGCCTTTCCACAAAGATGTTAAGGAGTCCAAAAGAAGAGAGGGGAATAGGTGTACAGAGGGTTGAGCTGGCTTTCTTCAAAGGTTCTTCTAATTAAAACCAACCAACCAATCAACCTTAAATTGGAAATTCACAAGCTGCAAAGCACAGTTCCAGCCTCTATCATCAAGTGTTATTTGGTGGAATATCTTTAGAAAACAACATCTCACTGGGATAGGTGAGGCTGGCCCCAAACCCTGTTGGCCTTCCAGGAGGCCCTCAGAACATGGTTTTGTCAATGAGCTTGGTGATCCCATGGTAGAGTAGAGCTTGTTGGATAGTTTATGATAGTTAATTGATGCACTCTCTGTCGGCTGGCCGCCGGTTTTGTTTTTTACTTTGTTTTTATTTTTAATTTAAATTGTGGCTTTATTGGGTTTTATGTATTTTACTTTTATGTATTTTGTTTTATTATGCACACTGCCCAAAGTCACTATGTGAGATGAGCGGTTATACAAATAGGATAAATAAATAAAATAAATTAAAAAATAGTCAACTTTTGTGACAAGCCATCTCTTCCATGGTGGACCCTCTGCTAGCTCCATGCAGGTTCTTCCTATGCTCACTCTACGTTTCGTGGATTTTAAACTCCCCACGAGTCACACAGTCAGATGCAAGATGTGAGATGTCATCAGAATAATAGGTATTTCTCCCCTACATTCTCTTCTTCCACCAAGATCTGGTTTTTATCTTCTCATAGGGCATGACTGCAAGCTCATTCATTTAATTCTACATAAATCTACTTCTAAAGCAGTGTTGCTCAACCTTGGCAACTTTAAGATACGTGGACTTCAACTCCCAGAATTCCCCAGCCAGCATGCTGGGAATTCTGGGAGTTGAAGTTCATATGTCTTAAAGTTGCTAAAGTTGAGAAACACCGTTCTAAAGAGAAAGGCTGAGAAATCCCATCAGAAAATTCTTAATAATTTTAGCAGAGTTACAGTTCTGAAGAAAGGCCGATAAGCATGAGTTTATGGCGATACAAATGCACATCACCAAAGCAGATTTTTACATACGTCCCCTCTCCATTCATTCTCCTCCCTCCTCCCTTTTTTAAAAATTATTACTTATTATTTATAATCCATTTTTAAGGGGAAAAAAGAGGTGCCATTAGAGAAAGCCACCTTAAGCTAGATTGCATCCTGATGGTGAGTCCCACCCCATTACAGAAAGCTGAACAGCATTTAATTTCTGCAATTCTGTGTGCATTTCCTTGTAAGTTTCACTGAACCCAGGGACATTTCAAAATGACACCATTTGCCCCCGTAGGCCACAAGCTATGACGGGCACCCATAACAGTTGATATGTAGAAGACGGGACAGAATTGTTCAGAAATGTTCCAGAGGACAGAACAAAAAGTGGATGGATTCAAATTAGAAGAAAGGAGACTGCAGTTGGACACCACAAAACAAATTTACGCATATAAAAAAGGAAAAAGGTTTCAATGACACAGTCGTAGCCACCATCTTGACTTTTTCTGACAACCTCCACCCCATCTCCCACGGACATCCCGAGGTCAAAAGAAGGAATCTTAGGTTGCTCTTTGCATTTTTTTGCATCTCTGGCCTAAAGTAACGACTTCTCGTTAACTAACGTGTGTGAGAAGGGCAGCTGTATACATTTGATAAAGAAATAAACAAATAAACAAATTTCCAATAGTGATCTACTTGTAGTTTTAACTGTTTAAAGGGCTAATATCAATTACCAAAGACAGACACTAACTCGGTATCTCTTTTGTAACCCATCTCAGTCAAGGCTGATCGAGAATGAAGAGGGAAAGCTAATTCATTCCATCGCATCTAATTTTAACTTCTGAAATACATGTAAAAACCTAAACAAAGAAGTGGGTAGTACCCATCAATCTTTCTACCACACTGCGTAGGGTGCAACTGATAATTATTATTATTATTCTTCATGGCCCACACTGAAGCTCTCACTTTGCACACATGGTCTTTGGAATTCAGAAAACAAAACAAAACTTTGTCTCTGAATCCCTGGGCGTTGTTTATACACATTCTTAGATGTTACTGCAACATTTTACCCAACATACATACTTGTTAATCTGCGCTAAAAACATCCCCTTCAACGCGTAGAACTCGGCAGTCATTTCCTTGGTAAAATATTTCAGGTTGGTGGACTCAATCACCTCCAGGCCCTATCAGACAGATTTGGACACAGCAAGATTTGCAAGAGGTATATCAGTTAGATAAAGACATGTGAAAATGTTTCAAAACTCAAGACTTCACAGTAGACGACTCCTTGATATACAGCCAAATGCTCAACAATGGTGATGGAATGTGAGGGTGGCCTTGGAAGACGGGGGGGGGGGGGAGAGATGCCACCTCGGGAACAATCAGATATAAAAGAGAAAGGAGTCCACAACAGGATAGAAGTCAAAGAAAGAAATTTTGGAAGGACCCGCCCTAACTACTCAGGTGGTAAATAGGAAGGGCAGGAGACTTGTACTTTCAGATTTGCAAGATTCTGTTAATGTAGCCTGACAATAAAGTAGAATTCGTTCAT